TCACTCATTCAGTCAAGAAAGTGGAAAACCAGGGGATTATAAATGGAGATACCTAAAGAAAGCGTTTAGAAAAGACACCGGGGAAATTTCCTTTGGTCCATAGAGTGATAAATATCTGGAGTAATCTAACAAGCAAGGTCATTGAGGCATGAAAGAAACTGAAATTACAATTAGACCCCGTGCTGGGAGGCTTAAAGCGATGAGCTAGAGAGTCGGATTTTGCTGGGTTGAATGACCTTTTCTTCCCCCTGACTTAAATGTGCTCCGGGACGCTATATAAATGCAAGTTATTGTTGTTGTTCTTAATGTGCGTGCTGAAATACAGGCAACCATCTTAATCTTAATCTTGGCCCATCGAGGTCCTGACAAAACTGTGGAACGTCCACTTTAAGATTAATGGTGTTTTAATGAGCCTCTCAAATTAGTGAAGCCTCGATTAACTTCGAAAAGGACGTTGATCACAGGGGAGGCAGAGACCCGAAATCCCACCTAGTCTCAGACCGTAAAACCATTTTCGTCTTAAAATTCAAGACCGGGCAGAATTGCGGAACTGTCTTCAACTCATTCTAAAATTCCGAAGTCGTTATTTTCAGCAGTTCTTTTAAAAAAACAAAGTGAAAATAGTTTCTCTCCCGGTCGGGGTCTTGGCTGACAATCCCCCCTCCCCTCCCCCACACCCTGCACCCCCCCCCTCCCCCACCCCCACCCCAGGATAAAAACTGGTCATTCACATTGTGGGACATTGCTGTGCTCCAGAGTGTTACAAAGATCCACGTTTTACTGTAAATCCTGTGCAGCAGTTTCGAGACATCAATCCTGCCGACGGAAGAAATGCGACATCAAACAACAGGATTATTTTGTTGTTACTTTGGGAGGCTGAGAGGAAACCAGCTTGAATCCGCCTGTTGTGCTATTATTGATTTCAAACGAGTTTCCACGCCTGAAACGCTACAGGAAGTCCATTCATTGAGGTGACACGCATCTTTTGAAATATGTTTCAGAGAAGCTGCCAAGTAAATTACTGGCTATTGTTCCTGCAGAAAATGGAGGTTTGGATGTCGAATATGTGTGTGTCTGTCTCTCTGTCACTGATTTCAGGCTGCTTAGCAGCTCTGGGGAGGAAACGCCCAACAAACGAGGGATATTTTTTCATCCGAACCTATCTTTGTGACCTCCTCAAGCCCTGCTGACCCAGATGCACCCTTCTTCTCTCAGTTTAAGGTCCGCCTCAAGACTCATCTCTTTGACCGTGCTTTCGGTCACCTTTCCCCTCCCCAGCTCTCCTCGGTTCCCACTCTCAGCTCATGTGCCAAGCCAGGATTGCTAAGCGTCTTCCCGACATGTAAGACTCTGTATAAATGTAAATTTGTCCCGTGCGGTGATCTATTCTCGTTCTGTGACTAGGAAGAGATGGGAAGGACTCGAGATTACCAGCAGTGTTGTGTCTCTTCTCCAGCTCACGGGAATTTCAATGCGATGTAATGGCACATTCCCATTGACAGGGAATTCAGACTAACCCTCACGAGACCACTGTGGAACATGAAGCATGACAGATCTTGTTGCTGTCTGGAAAATCAATATTTGTGTTAATAATTAATCCATTTTGAGGTGATGTACCTGGGACGCCTAAGAAGATTTATGAGGATGAAAGAAGCAGGCTGTGTTTTCTTTTTGCAGGATGTGAAATGTCTCCTCTCATATGCACACACGCTCCATTTTATCTTTACTTATCCAGCGTTAGTCTGTCGGTCATTAAACACACACTTTATCAGCTAATGTTGGACTGCTCGTATGACAGAGACGGAAGGGGACCAAGTGTTTATTTAATATTTACTTAATATTTAAATACACAGACAATCCACTTTAAGTCAAAAGGCACTATATTATCATTATTATAATGACTAAGTGCTGCAGATGAAATTGGGAAGAAGTTTGTTCAGTAATTCTGTGGCCAAACTTGAGAACAAGGTACAGGTGGCAATCTCAAATGGATCTGTGACTGGGAGGGAAAAGTAGAGTTCAAAGCGCAGAAAATAATACCATGAAACTAACCAGAAACTGACTTATTATGATTATATTTGTTGCAGCGCCTTATCACCTTGGCTGCAGATTTGCGCATAGCAATGTCCCACAAACAGCCACGGAATGAATGATCAATTTCATTTAACATCCATCGTACAACGTCCACGTGAGCAGACAGGCAGATGGGACCCGATTGAATGTTTCGCTGACCACCCCCCCACCACGTTTCTCAAGTAGTACCTCCAAAGCACTCGCATGTCAGGACGGCATTTGGATTCACGTGAAAATCCTCCCGAGAAACAGTTCAAAAGTCTTCAAACCCCGACCAACCCACCCGTCCGTCAGGACACAAGCGACAGAAGGGAATTAGCGTTCAAATATCCCGTCTACGATAAAACGCAGGAAGCTCGCTGCAGATTAAAGCGGGATTAAAGAGGCTCAATACTTGGCGAAAACGAAATATATGTATATTTTTAAAAGAAGGCACCGTCGCAGAGATAGAAAGTGGATTAAGATACTGCTGTTGGCTTTTGCACAGTCTCACCGTGGCTGCAAGTCACGGATTCAGTTTGACTGACGTGACTGCAGACTGACCACTGCTTAGCCCGGATGAACACAACAGTATCCTTGAATGGGAAGGTATCGCTGGCAAGTGCCCAGCCTCTGCCCAAAAAAGGATTGTCTGCCTGTCACCAGATGACGATGCTGTGCATTCCGCCCCCAAATAATAATCCTGGCATTTAATAATAATCCTTACATTTGATACAGCGCCTTGTCACATCTTCAAGACTTCTTCAAGAGCTTCATAGAATATACTGCAAAGCGAATTGACCGTGGATTTTGTGGCCGAAAAAACGCACGATACACCATCGCTACACGTTGCGGTAAAAATTCCCGTGCCGCACGTTAAGACGTCCACCTGATGCGAAAGGCAGCCAATCTGCCCGTGACGTTGTCCCACAAACAACCACGGAGCGAGTGACTCATTTTATTTGGGGGATTGTCGGCCAGGACACCGGGAGAGAGAGAAAAACTCCCTTCGCTTTTCGAATAGCGCTGCGGGATCTCTAACGTCCGCCTGAACAGGCAGACGGGACCTCGGTTTAATGTCTCCTCCGAAGGACGGCATCTCGGACAATGCAGGAAAGTGTTGCAACGCACTGTGCGAGACAGCTGAATCTGAAGCCGCCTCTGCAAATACTGAGCAGGTGAATCCTTGCACCTGAGTGCTTACTGCATTCCAGCATATGTTGACGTGCTGTTAATACAAACGAGGAACAGTTGTGGAAGGTCACAAGTCGCCGAATCTTTATGTCAGCACCTCGCGTTCTGTGTAAGAGGCGAAGTAATAGTAATCATAATAATCTTTGCGTTCGGTACAAGGCGTTGTGTCAAAACATCTCAAAGCGCTTCACCGAAATCATCTGTAAAGTGTGGATTTGTAGGCAAACACAGGGGCCAATTTGCACACAGCAATGGCCCACAAACAGTTGTGAAGTGAATGAGATTTTTTTTTAACCTGGAGGTAAAAAACACCCTTCCTTCTTATAAATAATAGCATTGGGATGGTTAAACATCTGTCTGAACAGGTTTGAAAGCCTCGGTACCTCAGACAATGCAGTACAACCACCGCCCCCCCTCGGCCCAGCCTTGTGCATGATTGTCAGCCTAGACTCTGTGAGTTTGAAATCCTGACGTGGGGCTTGAACCCACAGCCTTCTGACTCGGGTGGCGAGAAGGCTACCATCTGAGCCGGGCTGAGACCAAGTGAGCAGAACCTATCATTCTGCTGTTGTTTTGAGACGAGTTACAGCTCGACTCTTCAGTCCCTCACAATAAGCGGAGGCGTACAATGCGGTTTACCCTCAGAGGAAATCTACTGTTTCCAAAATACAGCGTCAGTGTCAGCCATGTGATTGCTTCCCCTCCTCACAATAACACTGAACCAGCGCAGGAGGATTTGGGTCAATGGGTTTTCTGTCTCATCCAGATGCGCAGTCACTGCCCCTGACAGTAATTCCCTTTGTGAGCGCTTTGAAATATCTAATAATAATAATTCTTGCATTCGATACAGCGCCTTATCATATCTTCAAGATGTCCAAAGCGCTTCGCAGAATTATACTGCAAAGTGGAGTGACTGTATATTTTGTGGGTGAAACACGGCAGCACAGCAGCGTCCCCACAAGCAGTCGTGGATTGAGTCACCGATTTATTATTTTTTTTTGATGGATTATTACCCCCGAAAAGCGATCCGCCAATCGACTAACAAGCAGGTTTCTGCTTACTGCTAGGTAAACAGAGGAGTGTGGAGTAAGGAAATTTGCCTAAGGTTTCGCTTTGCCCGGGAATCAAACCCAGGTCCTCTCACTTACGAGACGAGTGCTCTAACCACTGAGCTACAGGAATCCACAACGGAGTGGGGAAAGCAGAGTGGGAGATAGCTGGATATTCTGAGAGGGGAGGGGGGGGAGGGAGAAGGGGAAAGAGGAGGAAATGCTTCAACGTTAAATGTGCTAAATCAGATGTGTGAATTAACACCATAATTATCACTGTATTATTTATCGTGGTTTTGATTGCATTTATCTACAAAAAGGCAAAATGCTGCCGACGCCGGAAATCTGAAAATAAAAACAGACGTCGCCGGGAAAACTCACCAGGTCAGGCAGCATCTATGGAGAGGAAGGTGAGTTATCGTTTCAGGTTGATGACCTTTCGTCAGGTTCTGAGACGTTAACTCACTTTCCTCTCTCCGTAGGGGCTGCCTGACCGGCTGAGTGTTCCCAGCCACTTCTGTTTTATTCCCTCTACCTCTATAGATGACTTCCTGCCCATTCCTCTCCCCAAACCCCAACAGTGCATCAAACAAACCACCGTTCCTCAGTGAAATATCGCTCATGTGGAAATCTAACCCGGTGCTCTCGCGAGACGCTGTTCCATGTACAACACAGACACTGATTATTGAAGCAAAATTCACTCACCCGCCGTGGTCTGCATGTAGCCGGCCAGCGTGCAGACCCTCCTCTCGCACACTCCGCTGGGCAGAAAGACGGTAACGATGGCAAGTAGAGCGCTGATAGCCAGCAGCACACAGCCTCCGGAACACAGCACGGCGCTGGTCTGTAACGTCAACAGAGACAGGCACAGGGTTCAGTCGTGTCCCGCACAAACCCCTCGACCGCTCAACCAGGTGCTTACGGTCACCTCCTCCTTTCCCCCTCCCACCACCACACCTCCCCCAGCTTCAGCTTCAGGTTCTGCCACTGTTAAGCGCTCCGAGACTCTGCCCCGCGTGGAAGAGCACGATATAAATGCAGGTTATTGTTGTTTGTTGCTGTTGTTCCCCCTGGAGAGGACCCAGGTTCGATCCCTGGTCAGGGCAAAACCTTCCTCAGGTTTCTTTACCCCACACACCTCTGTTTACCCAACGGTAAATATAAACCTGGTTGTAAGTTGATTGGTGGATCGCTTTCTGGGGGTGGGGGGAATAATCCCTTCCCCTCCCCCAAAATTGGTCACTCAATGTATGTGGGACACTGCTGTGCGCAATTGGTCTGTCGCGTTTCGTCCGCAAAATACCCAGTCAATTCACGTACAACAAAATCTTTGAGACGTCTCAACAACCTGATAAGGTGCTATATCAGTGCAAGGGTTATTATTAATATAACTTGCAGGGGTTGCGAGTTCTGCTCGTGTCTCTATGTTGCGATGGAAATGGCCTTTCCTGCAACGGTGACTTAACTGTTTTTTAAAAAAAAAAACCACGGCTGATTCTCCACCTTAATCGCAAGGTTAATGCTTCGATTAAATTTATTCCGCAACTGGGAAATCTCCTCCGAAAAAAAAAAATCAATATTAAGTTAGCAGTAACCATTTATCTTGCGATTACAGCCCTGCATTTAGTTTGAAGGAGACATTAACTGGCTTTTACATGGGATTTCTTCCTCTAAATCTCGAAGCGTGCACGGAATTCGGAAGCTAAAGACTCACAGACTGGAAGTAGTCTTGCAGAGATCAGCTGAAAACCTCCTGTACAGGGAGCTAGCGGGCAGCCGCCTGTTATCAATTCATGTTGCTACAGATGCCCCGCACGGGTCGAGATTTACTGCATTGGTAGAGCACTTTGGAGTATCCGGAGAATGGGCAAATTGTTTTGGGCAACGCGAAGTTCGAAGCTGGTGTTCTCTTGAGTTCGATCGAGTAACTGCGGAAAACAGCTTTCAAAACGAAGGCTGAATTCAACAGTTTCTCCCGATGGGCTGAGATGTTACGTTCGTCAAGTAAACCTCGACCCAGGTCGGATTTGTCCCCACGTGTGCCAGTGCGGATCGCAAAGCTCGGTAAAAAACGATTCTACCCCGCTCCCCACCTTTGCGATGGTTTAGTCAGGACAGTAGTGCCCAGAATACTAACTCAAATAGGAATAGTAACAATGAAATTCCTTCTCCAGTCTACAGCAAGCACATTTTCTGCTTTATTTATTGGAAGGGATGGAAATCGCAGGCCAAGAAGTCCCAAAGAAACAATAATAATACTTGCATTTGACACAGCGTCTTATCACGTCGCCGAGGTGTCTCAAAGCGCTTCACAGAATATATCGCAAAGTGGCTTTATTCGTGAGTGGGTGAAAAGCGGCTGCCAATCAGTGAAAAAATAAAAATGATTCTTTTACAAAACCAAAGTAAGCTAATCACCTCTCGTGTGTCTGCTGGCCACACGTGCCTATCGAGCTACGCCTAATTCACCCAGGTTGATAGTTAATTTGTGATATTGTCAAAGCTTATTCTTTCAATAAAAGATTATTTGGAGCGTGTTGGCTCCGACCGACCCCAGAACTGGATCCTGTTGCTTCCTCATTGCCAAACAGCTTTTCCGTCTGAGTACATTTTAATTAAGCAGCTGTCAGGCGTATTTGGTACGAAGGTGCGTTTTCGCTCATAAGCAGAGCTGCTGAAACACTCTGAAGCTTAATGACACGTGTATTAGTTACATAATCTCCTCATGCATGTAATACATTTGCTATTAACAGTGCTGTATGAATACTAATAACTCCGGGGATTACCAGGAGGCTGGGTGACAGTGAGAACAGCAAGCAGAAAGTTATCTCTCTCACATAACACTGGAAATATGAAAGGACAAAGTGGAAATATTCCTCTCACTTAGGCCAATGAAAGCACCATTGGCAACGACTCAATCATTCTCAAGACTATTGCGTTCCATTCCTCGTTCACTTTTGTGCCCACCCACCCACGCGGTGGATAGCAGACTTGAAGGGTAGAATGCATCTGCCTAGTATGTGTGTCAAGCTGGCTCAGTCGGTAGCGCTCTCGCCTCTGAGTCAGAAGGTTCACACCCCATGTCGGGACTTTGAGCTCATAAGAGTCCAGGCCTGTTCAGATGAATGTTAAAGATCCCACGAAGCAGTTCCACACGAGAAGCGAGTTTCTCCCAGCGTCCTGGCCAACAATCCTCCAGAAAAAAAAACATTTGTGGGACAGTACTGTGCGCAAACTGGCTGCTGTGTTGGCAAATACACTTTAGAGTGAATCCCGTGACGCAATTGCAGAAATTTTGACGAGGCGTTCTACAAGAAAAATGCAAAGATTATTATAATTATTTATTATCCCTGATATAGTTCTGGGAGGTAGATGCAATAATAGTAATAATTCTTGTATTCAATCGGCGGCGATCTATTGAGAGTGGGGTGTGCTTGCTGTACTGTATATATATGTAGCAAGAGACGAATGTTACTGTGGATTTAGCGGACTCCCTAATGTGTAGTGGAGGCTTTCATTCTCAGGCTTAGGTGGTGGTGTAGTTGAGTTCTATGGTTCTAGGTCAGTAGGGTTCAGCCCCAAAGCCCAGGGAAAACCTTTCCTTTGTCCTTTACTGTTCGCTAGACTTACAACAAGCAGCTTTAACGCAACGATATGCAACATCCAATCTGCAAACAGAATGGCCTTTTATTTAATTTAACACAAAGCCTATCCATGTGTACAGCGCGCGATAAAATATGATCCCAGTGGAAAAACTGGACCATTTGTCACGAGAAAATTTGCGGTGGTTAAAGGATTCTCCCTCAGGCAATAAATAGGGCTATTGATCATGACTAAATGATCAGGAGAGCTCGATTTCTGTAGCATTTATGCACAGAGAAGACAGGATTCATCTTTATTCCCTCTCCCACCCCCAACGCCACCCTCCCCCCCCCCATCCCCGCCGCTTGACAAGAGGAACAAGACAGTTGGAAAATGCCAAGACAACACAGTGCTTAATGTGAAGCAACGCAAAGAGCACAGGCAGCTTAAAAGTCACATACTTGATCAGCCCAGAACAGACAAGGACACTCGGCAGATTCATTACAATTAATGGCAGTCTGTTTGATGAAGTAAGAAGCCTGCAATAGAACGTACAGCAGAAGAACACTTAGCAATCACTTAAGGTATTTCCTACCTAATACAAACCCACTCTAACATAAGAGAAAGTGATGGTGATGTATTCGCTCTCTAACTAACACAAGTACATAAGAAATTGCCAGGCGAAAGAAGACCAAGGTCCATTTCAGTTAGCTTCCACCATCCTGGCAGTCACACGTACATGTCAGGTTCCACACCATATATTGTATCCCGAGATATTATTTCCTAACTTCTCCTTTAATTCCCTCTCGCCTGATGAGCGTTATTGCCACTTGTTTCTAACCGGTGCAGTTTTGCTTGGCTTCGGGTTGGTTGGTTGTAAGCTTTGCTAAATATATTGAACCCGCTGCCTCTCTCTCTCTCTCTCTGGTTCAAGATCCTCACACCCGTTTTCAAAATCCCTTCATGCCCTCGTACCTCCCTACCGATCCGAACTGCTTACCCCCCACTCCTCTACCGCCCGGTGCCTCCCCTCGGCTGGCTCCAGCCTCCCGTTTGCCCCTCGTGCCCTCCGCTCCACCATCGCTGGCCGTGCCTTCAGCCACTAAACCCCTGAAACTCTGGAACTCTCTCCCTCGATCCATCTGCCTTGTCCCCACCTTCGAATCCCGCCTAAAGACCTTCCTTTTTGATTGTGCTGACGGTCATCTCCCCCTTTCCCTCTCCCCCTTGGCTCAGTGTCACTTTCAAGCGCTCCGGAACTCTACCCCCAGTTGAAGGGAGTTATATAACCGCGAGTCGTTGCTGGAAACAAGCGCGGGCCTGGCTGGGTAACAAGTAAAACATTTGTCTGTGCAACGTCTGTGAGTTAGAATTTCAGCAGCCAGCTGGTGTGTTGTAACAGAACGTTCAGCATCCGCATTGACATGGATTACGCTAATTTCCTTTGCTCTGGCACCATAGCCCCGTGCCCTCCGGAACTCCCTCCTTCGACCCGCTCCATCTGCTCGGTCTTCATGTTTAAGACGCGGCACGGTTTAGGATGAGGAGGAATTAGGGGCCTCCTGTGCCAGGAGCACGGGTTTGGGATTAATCCTGCCCCAGTCGCTATTCATACTGTATTCTGCACTTGCTATCACAGTGGCTTTGGACACTCACCAAGGATATTCAAGCTCAAACCCACCTGTTTCATTTTGGGGATCGTTGGCCTGGACACCAGGAATAAACTAACTCACTTCTCTTTTTGCTCCGTGCCACAGGAATCTTTAACATCCACTCGTACAGGCAGATGGGACACGGTTTAACATCTCATCAGAAGGACAACTCACTGGTAAGTCACCTTGGACTATGAGTTCAGAGTCCAGACGTGGGGCTTGAACCCATAACCTTCTGACTCCGAGGAGAGAGCGCTACCAACTGAGCCAGGCTCACGCACAAGGGTCTTTCATTGCCTTCAGATCTTTGAGGTGCAACATCTGCTATTGGATTTTACCTTGCCACGGGCTACAACAACAACAACTTGCATTTACACAGCGTCCCTCAGGCAGGGCAGCGTCCCAGAACGCTTGACAGTGGCGGAGCACGAGGTAACTGTAGGTATGGTCGAAGAGGAAGGTCAGTGCTCCAAAGTTTCGGGGCGTAGTGGTTGAAAGCACGGCCACTGAATGGTGGAACAGAGGGCAAGAGGGACATGCCGGAGGCTGGAACCAGTCGAGCTGAGGCAGCGGGTAGTGAGAGTAAGCAGGTCGGAGAGGTAGGAAGGTG